CACAATTCTTTTTTTTTCTTTAAGTAAAATAATAACCCCTCGCAAAGGCATTTTAAAACATCTAGTGTGCCATCATCATAAATGAGTCTTATTATAGCAGAAACACTTAGTAGATCTACAGATGTTAATCCTGAGACATTGAAATTGGTTTATTTACACTGCATTTGAGATACAACATTGCCTCATGTATTCTTTAAATGTTTTATTAGTTGTAAGATTACAGAAATTCACAGCAGATTACCTCATGATGCATGGTGTGTTTTGACATTGAAAATTTAAAATTTGAACATTACTATGATGGTATGAATAATGAACAATTTGGAAGTTTAAATCAAGGTAGCACTTAGACATCAAAAATCACAGCACAATGTTACTGCTCTTGTCCAAGTGAAACAGTTCAACTTTTTGCTAGCTGTGTTGCATTGCTAAAGGTTGCTGTCACTCATCCTCAAATCACCAGCTCTTGCTGAAATCAAATGACTATTGACCATTTTGCTGCTGTATATTCACTATGTATTCCACTATTAGACTGAATTTAAAGTAAACTGGAATCCCTGTGTGTTTCATATGGTGTATTGTTAAACTATACTCAATGTCTTGCGTCATTCAGTCTGTTACCTTGTGCACATTTAAGTGTGATTTTTACATTGAGTTGAAAGATTTTAACCCTAAGGACATGCGCATTTCAACTAGTAACAGTTTAGTTCCCAAGGCTTTTCCATTTAATCTTCATGGGCATTATGAAATAAGAACGTTGGCTCATTGTTCCTTTGTATTCCAGCTTTGTAGCAATTAATGTTAAGGCTGATTTTACAATGTAAAAATAATAATAATAATTTTCTGTTCCATAGTTACAAGTTATTACTAGCATCATACAGATTATAAATGTAATTATACAGGTTATTACTGCCATTTTACAAATTATTACTGCATTTATATAAATTATTACTGACATTAAACAGATCATAACTATAACTACAATTTATTACTGTCATTTTACAAATAAATACTTTAAATATATAATTAATTAATGTAAATATACATATTAATGTGATTATAAAGATTATTACTTTAATTTTACAGATCAATATGATTATAAAGATTATTTATTTAATTATACAGGTTATTACTGCAATTATACAGATTAATTAATGTAATTATGCATGGAAAAATAAAAAAAATGAATAAAAAGCTTAGGTACAAATAATTACTGCTGTCATAAAAACACTGAATAAAACTGTAGATTTACTATTATTATAGAAATGTCCTCCAGGTGCTCTGGTTTCAACCACAGTCCAAAGGCACTACAGATAAATTGGCCGTAGAGTATGTGTGTAAATGTAAAAGTGTTTGGGTGTTTACCAATTGGGTTGGGGAAGGGCATCCGCTGCATGAAACATATGCTGGATAAGTTGGCGGATTATTCGCTGTGGCGACCCCTCACCCCTGATGGATAAAGGGACTGAGCTGAAAAAAAATTAATGAATGGATGAATAAATGAATGAATGAATGAATGCTATTTGGGAAATTAAAAAGTAGTCATGAAATAGATTTACATATTGACAATGAAGTTATAGAAAGAGTATATGCAATTAAGTTTCTTATTGTTGTATTGGATCATAAAATTAGTTGGAAACTGCAAATAAATAATGTGATATCAAAATTAGTAAAAACTGTAGCAATAGTGTATGAAGCAAGATTTATCCTGGACAATAAATCAATGTATATATTATATAACACACTTGTTGTTGTCATATATGAGTCATTGTGTTGAAATTTGGGGGAATACATATAAATCTAATTTACGATCCGTTAGTACAATGCAGAAAAAAGTAATCAGACTGATAGAAGGTATGGGGTATTTGGAACATATAAATCAATTATTTTTTAAATTATAGATACTCAAGTTTACTGATTTGGTTAAATTTAAAACAGCACAATTTATGTTTAAAGCTAGGAATAAATTACATCCAAAAAGCATACAAAAGTTGAAGAAAGACAAGGGGGATATATTGAAACTAAATTTAAGGAGGTTGAAAACAAGGACAACTTTAAAACGTTTGTGCATGTCTGTCTGTGGTGTGAAATTATGGAACCGTCTAGATCAGACTCTCAAGCAATGTCAGCATAATAATCAGTTTAAAAAGTTGTATTAATGTATATTAATAAAGGAATGTAATGATGAAGGTGATTGAAAACAGGATAAAATGAGGAAGGTATGATGAAACTTTATTTAATGGCTATTTGCAGTTCTATAGGGGGGTCTATGTTATAAAATGTAAAGGTAGATTTAAAATTATAATTTGTCAAAGATGCCAAAAGGATAAAATATGTCTCATGTAAAAAAAGAAATGAGTAAAAGAAGAAATAAGTTTGAGTAATAGACGAATGAAGTATGTGGTAATGGGGTGGGAAAATAATAAGCTTGTGCTTCATTCCACTCCATTTTCGACCATTTTGAAATATATTTATTATTTTTTTTTTTTTGTTAGTGATATTTTATTTATGTTATTTTTGATCGAAAAATTAAAAAATCAAATCAAATAAAATAACTTTTAACTACAAAAATTCTGCTGCTACGGCTATCAGATCTGCCTCCTGCTTCATGAAAACTCACAGGCATCTTTGGGTGAGCGACCCAGAACCATAGACATGTATAGAAATGCCTTTAAGTGGAGTAAGCTGCTTTGTTGGTAGCAGGCAATTGCGCTTATCAACCCCAAGAAAATTTCATTTCTTGCTTGAAAAAGTTGTATGGTGACGCTTTATAATGTTACATGCTTAATAATTATTTTTTGGTCTTAAGTTTAGGAGTCTTAAATTGGTATTTACCTTTTTTAAACAAATTTTAAAAAATTAAATAACTTTTAGAAGCTGACCTGGCAATCTGCAGGACATTGCATGCTAATCTAAAACACTGCTATGCGAACAATAAAGTAATGATACCTATCTATTTAATTTTAAAAATTCTATTTAATTTAATTAAAGTCCTTAATTTATATAAACCTGCATAATGTTGTACATATTGAGGTAATACTCACACAATCACTTTCTAAGACCAGCATATTAAAGTGTGAAAAACTAACCTGCACTAGTCAACAGCTTCAGCAATCTGAGTGCTCCACAGAGCATAGAACAGCATTGATCTGTACAGCTCAATGCAGATTAATGTTGCACTGTGATTTCTGAATAAGTCACGCTGCGCCGAGAAGTGCATGACAGCTTACTATTGAATTGACGTTTGTTGCTCATTGCTTTCTGAAATAATCACATTAAATAAAAATAATAATGCATACCAATCACAATGTGATAATGGATTTAGTTTTAGCATCCAAAGTCACCAGCAGCAAGTATTTATGGATGATGGGGTGGAGGATGAAGAACTTCCTGCCAGGCTTTGTGCAAATCAGACCAAGTTTGGATAGGAGCTGTGGAGTGATAAGTGTGCCTGCAGGAAGAATCATATTGCCTATGTCTGGTGAATGCTGCTCCACATATACATTATAAATCATTTACAGAGTCATTTTAGAATGCAATATCCACTACTAAATTCCAGCTTTTCTCCTTCCTATTATTCTAAGCCCTCTAAGGGATAGAGGTCTGCGGGTCTTAAGCTTTAAAAATTGAAAATTGATCAGTAGCTGAGCAGAGAAGAGTTTTTCTTTGCTGGAGATGACCCTCCTCATCATTAGCATTTACAGTGTTAGCACATGCACCCACAAGGCACTTAAAAAATATAAGCTTTCCAATGATGGGGATGATGACCTGTGCCTGAATAATATTATACTTAATGCATTTTTTTGTCAAATTCAGACGGAAAAGGTGTTATTTTCTACAAACAGTATGTTTTCTTTTTTTGATTTTGTACAAAAGAATATAATGAGTTTTGGGAATACAAGATTTGACATCAGTGGGGAGCGTTTGCTATTTTAAAACCTCAATTATGCAGTATTAAATTGTTAGTTCCAGGACATAAGTAAATAAGACATTATATTATATAGCATATAAAATATTATACTATTTAAAATATTATACTATTTAGTATAACTTAAATAATAACCTTAATAATAACTAAATGTCAAAACGGGCGGCATCATGGTGCATTGGGTAGCAATGTCGCCTCACAGCAAGGTCACTGGTTCAAGCCTTGGCTGGGTCAGTTGGCTTTTCTGTGTGGAGTTTGCATGTTCTCCCTGTGTTCGCGTGGGTTTCCTCTAAGTGTTCCGGTTTCCCCCTCAAGTTCAAAGACATGTCAACAGGTGAATTGAGAAGGCTAAAAATTGACCGTAGTGAATGAGTGTGTATGGATGTTTTCCAGTGATGAGTTACAGCTGATAGGGCATCTGCTGCTTAAAACATGTGCTGGATAAGTTGGTGGTTCATTTCACTGTGGCGACCCAGATTAATAAAGGGACTATGCCTAAAAGAAAATGAATGAATGAATAAATGTCAAAATGGTTGGTGGCTGATTGGCTGTGATTCAGAAAAGTGATTCAATTCATACTTATCTGTCTTGCTATTGTGACACAGTAGCTGTGCTCTCAACTGTTAAAACTGAATATTTAACTTTATAATTATCAATATGGTTATAGTAAGTGCATGTATCTGCATAGTTATGCAGACCTTCATATGAATTGAGCAATGTGTGTGCACATACACAAAAACAATTTCCTTGAGTTTTTGGACGTTTTATACCATAAAGGAAGGAGTTTTATAACATACAGACTGTATAATGTATCTCCCTACCCCTAAATCCAACAATCACATGAAACAATATGCATCCTTACATTTTTAAAAATATTTTTCTCATGGGAACCAAAAAAATGTCCAGCAAATTACAATGTGTCCTTTCTTTTCATGTTTTTATCCTGCAGGAGAGAGGATTGGATGAGAGTATTGGACAGTAACTGAGGATTGGTCTGGAAGGGAACGGAGCACATGTGTATTTTTTCTTCGATGACAGGAGTAATCAAGCTGTGTTTGAAGGTCTGAAGGCAGACATGTGCTGGAGGATTTTTTCAGCATACATCGGTGTCCAGCAGCGACAACAACATCCAGTATCACAGACTATGTGGTTAGCAATGCGCAAAAAACGTCTCCTTTTGCACCACCAGGACTGCTGCAGTCGCAGAGCTTGCAACATTTCTCTGTGGATATTGGTTTTTTGTTGGTGTATGATGCTTGTCCGGGGGCAAGGCTACTACCCCACAGTCAATACACAGTACGGGAAATTACGGGGGGCGCGGGTTCCGCTGCATAGTGAGATCCTGGGACCAGTGGACCAGTACCTGGGAGTCCCGTATGCCACCCCACCGGTGGGTGAAAAACGATTCCTACCCCCTGAGCCACCCTCGTCTTGGTCCGGGATCAAGAATGCCACTCATTTTGCACCAGTGTGCCCACAAAACATTCACAATGCTGTTCCGGAAATCATGATGCCAATCTGGTTCACATTTAACTTGGATATAGTTGCAACTTCTATACAGGATCAAAATGAAGATTGTTTGTATCTAAACATCTATGTTCCAACAGAGGATGGTGAGTGTGTCGGGTATAACAAAGAAAAGATAGTGTCTCACTATTACATTCTGTCATTTCCTGTGTTGTGTTTGAAGCATGAGTTGTCGTCTGGCGCATGCTGTGTCTGTGCACATCATTTTCATTCCTCATCTTGACTTGATCTGCCATGAAGTCTTTCCATCAACTCTTCCCTTCCATGCCACTGTTATAGGTTCCTCTTTTGTGTTGTTCAAGAGAGCAAACCAAAAAGATAGAAAGAAAGTCAGAATAAAGCAATCAGTGAGCAAGTAATCTTTTTTTTTATGTTAGAGCTCAGATTTTAATCTGACATGAAGTTTGGATGTAATGATCTTGGTGCACCTCCCTCTCCTCACTGTCTTGACTGTTCTGGGGATTAGTTATCCAAGATTAGCTTGCTTGATTCCAGAATGAGCCTTTTGTAGAGTTGTTCAAATGTTCTGGAACACAAGAGGCCTGTGGCATCAGTCCTAACCATGTAAGACCCTTTACTGTCCCAGTTGCTTCTGTTAAAGTTCAAATCCTTTCTTGTGGAACTTAAGATCTTTAGGCAAATTTGGTAATCACATTTGCATTCACAAATACCACCCTAGCATAAGAGCATTTCTCGACTCAAAGCCTTACGAATTTGAAACAATTAGCTCTGTTCCAAAATCATGTGAGCTGCCTTTTTAGGATATCTGCTGTACATGTTAGAGAAAGCTCTGATGGGGGCAGATAGGAATGTACAATCTTCATTAGGGGAAGGAAATACTTTATTAAATCTGGATTTTTCATCGGTTTAAAATGTGGATTTTCACATCAGTTAAAATATGTCAGAAAATAATGTTTTAATTTCCTCAAAAGAATATTTCATGCTTGGCCTGGTTAGATACATTTTATTGTTAATAATACTTTTGTGCCAAGTGAATGAGGACTCTTAAAATATGGTAAAACTCAGATGAAACAAAATACTCCAGGAATTATTTAATTAAGTTTACATTAGCAAGATCGTCTACATCTGAGATCACATATGTCCCTATTATAGTAAGGAAGGAATGTTGAATTTTGTCCAAAAAAAACAACATTCCAGGGCAGCACGGTGGGTAGCACAATTGCCTCACAAAAAGAAGGTTGCTGGTTCGAGCCTCGGCTGGGTCAGTTGGCATTTCTGTGTGGAGTTTGCATGTTCTCCTCGTGTTTGCTTGGGTTTCCTTTGGGTGCTTCGGTTTCCCCCACAAGTCCAAAAACATGAGGTATAGGTAAATTGGGTGAGCTAAATTGTCCATAGTGTGTGAATAAGTGTGTATGGATGTTTCCCAGTGATGGGTTGCAGCCGGAAGGGCGTCTGCTGCGTAAAACATATGCTGTATAAGTTGGCGGTTCATTCCACTGTGGAGTAAAAAGTAAATGAATGAATGAATAAATGAATGAATAAACAACATTCCTAAAACTGGTGAAAAGAACTGGCTTACCAATTAGTTCTGCTGAAATTCTTAAGTGCACATTCAGTTTACACTTTTCTGTCCCATGAGGCCATGGGAGTGATGGAAGTAACTGTATGTCGCAACATTATGAAGCAACAGTATGTCACAAATACTCCATGATGAATGCAGTTTTTTTCTGAATTGCATTTTTATTATTTAAAACATACTGTTTAATTGTTGCAAAGTCATTTCAGTCACATCTTTAGAAAAAAAATCACATACTAAAAGAGAACAGGATTTTAGATGCTCTCATATTACACATAAATATATACCATAGATTGTAAAACATTTCATTGAATACTGAGTTTTCTTGCTATTTTCAATGACATACATTCATCTAACTTTATTTAAATAACTTTATTTATATAACTTTATTTTGTCCTCTATTTTTCAGTGAGTTTGATGTAATGCATTCTGTGACTGTCTTGGCTTTGAAACATAAATGCATTATACCATATTAATTAGACAAAAATTACATATCTAGGAAGCAAGCATAATATTTTGCCTACTTTGAAGCAGGTCTCTGATATATACAGTACATTTCTGTCTAGTTAGTGCAATGTTTTGGAACAGAGCTATTTTGTAATTCAAAGCTAGCAATGGGAAAAAAAAAATCATAAAACCAATATCGACTTTTGTATAACTCTTACATTCCCAAAGTACATTTGGCGTATTGTACAACAGCCTGTGCATTTGTCTGTAAATCCGGGATGTCATCGGTGAAGGGATTGCCATTTCTTTTACGCTTGTAAAGGGTCTTATATAGCAGTGCATGTGAACTTAGGCTTCCTGTGTTCCAGGGTGCAGCTAACAATTCCACATATTTTGGAATAATTTCTGCCCAAATGAAAAAAGTCCTCAGCTAATTTTCTGGAAAGGGTCTTTTTGTTGTTATTGTGGGGAGCGGGAGTGACTTTGTTGCATGTTTTCCTCAAACGTTTCCAGAGCCTTCTGTTATTTTGTAGTCTTTTATTCATTTTACAGTCAAAAGAATATCCAAGGAATGTACCAGAAAACCCAACAAGAAAATATGTAGAAAAGGAGGTATGTAAGCAAGCCAACATTGGAGTGAAATACTGTGAAGAGAGCGACTGGTACGTCCTCTCTTGCCTACGGGATTTCTCCATCAACCACAGAGTCATGTTTGCTGATCAACAACAACAACAACAACTTAAAAATATAAAACTCTCTATAGCTGTCAATTTTTGTCTTAAATTATGTATTTATTTATTATTTATTTTTATTTAATGTGTGCTATATGTAGGCAACTGGTAATACTGGATTTCTGTGAGTTTCATTCACATAAAACAGTATGCTATTTTTTGTTGTAATTTCTTTAAAATATAAATGTATACATACAATTGATAAACTATTTTGTTGCTTAATTTAAACTATTTTTATTTACAGTAAATATTTTGTAGTATTAGTGAGACTGAGAGAAATTAAAACCAGATGAAGCCATCTTCAAGACACTTTTGGTAACCTATACTTGCTAAGATACCTGAAAAGCCATGTGCAAGTGTACACAGGACTAAAGTGGCTTTAAACACAAAAGATAGTCGCAACACAATGTTTTAATTTCGTAAATAAAAGTTCATTGATAATGAATATCATTCTTGATAGCATCTTCATTTTACAGTATTTTTTCACAAGTGTCTAGAACTTAGATATCTGTCTTGGAGATGTTGGCACAATTCTTTTGGATTTTGTCTGTCTCAGTTTGTTGTGTTTCTTCGTGTGTTTTATACCAGATCAGATCTCTTTGTGGAGCACTGGCTGAAAAGCTTAGTTGACTATTACAGCTTATGGTTAAATGAATCTGTGTAAATGTAAACTGTTATTTTTTAGTGACTACTGCAAAACAGAAATAATTGACATATAAATGTTGTTTCAACAATGTTTCAATAATTTTGCCACTACTATGTACACATATAGGCAAGGTCATGGTACTACATGTGATAATTTAGTTTATTTATTTATTTTAGTAATGTGCAATATGAAAAACAAAGATTGATAGAAATATACAACTTTTTTAAACAACTCTAGATAATCTTGACAATATAACGATAAACGATTCAGAGATAATGAGAACCATTCATGTTGCAGCTTGTAATGGGACGTAATGGGAACAGACAACACGATACAGTTTCCGAAATTCTGATCACATTCTCACTTCTAAGTTCCACTTATTGACACTTGGTCAGTTCCCCATTTTATTAGACAGGGTACCCATTTAGTGTCTTTTTTTGATGCTCAGTATAATTCATTCAGTGGGTAACATTTGATGTATCTTTGTCATGATGATGAAATTACATATTAGGGTATAATTTTGCCATTATGTCATACTTTGACATATGTCATACTTTACTGTCAAAAAGTTTTGCAACATCTAAACCCTTACCATAGGTGACAAATAGCCAGCCCCAAGTGATAAGTGAATTGAAATTTTGAAAATCATGCACTGATGTTGGACGAGAAGACCTGGCTTGCAGTCACCACTCTAATTCATCCCCATTATTAGGTTAAGGTCAAGACTCTGTGCAGCCCAGTCAAGTCGCTCCACATCAAACTTGCTCATCTATGTCTATAAGGGCTTTGGTTTGTGCACAGACATGTTGCAACAATAAAGGGCCATTCCTAAACTAAGTATGAAATTTTGCTAAATTTTGTTATGCTAGCGCATAAAAAGTTCCTTGAACTAAACCCTAAGCCGAGCACAACCCCTTGAAAAACAACCCCACACTATAATCCCTTGTCCACTAAACTTTTACGTTTGGCACAGTGCAGTCTAGAATGTATGCAAACTTTAGTCTAACCCAGAGTCATCCATTGGATTGCCAAATACTTATTTACTGCTTGTGGGTACAGTGGTGCTTTGCTTTACACCACTGCATCAGATGCTTTGGAAGCAGTTGCTTGGCCATAAAATCTTGGAAGCTTTCTACACACTGTTCTAGCTAATCTCACAAAGTTTTGAGGTCTATCGCTATTGACAAATGTTGGCAACTTCTGTGCACTGTGCGCCTTAGCATGTGCTTATGTTGACTTTACATGGTCTACCCACTTTGTGGTTGAGTTGCTGATTGATTCTGCTTTAAAAATATACCACTAACAGTTGACTGTGGAATATTTATTAGAGAGGAGATTTACCAAATGTACTAATTGCACAGGTGGCACCCTATCACTGTACAATGACATTTGAATTCATTGAACACCATAGAGTGTTATATTTTTAAATAACTGATTTTAATGCTTTGGATGGGGTGTCCCTAGCTTTTGGGCAATATAGAATATGTGGTATATGATTTATACTTGAACAAATATTATGGAGCACCTAACGCCACCCCTACCCCAATGCTAACAACTCACAGAATGTAATGCATGGTCATGAGGATTTCTGCCATAACAATGCTTGAAGAGATTTAAAGGGTCACGAAACACCAAAACACATTTTTTGAGCTGTTGACAGTCGTATATGTGTCCCACACTGCTAAAAACACTATTAGGACACCTATATTTCACTAAAAAGTGTAAATTTGTTGTTTTTGCATTATTTCAAGCAAATTTGTACTTCCGGTTTGAAACAAATTTTTGAAGCTGCGTCACGGCCATGACATAATAGCGTTGTATTCCAGCGTGCAGACTGGGCGTCTGTGCCAGAGTGTGTCTTATTACGTCTTACAGTGTGATGCATTAATGCATGAGTAAGGCTTGGTTCAAACTAATCAGCGCGCTCTATTGTTCAACTTCATTAATATTCATTAGTGTCACAGTGCTTAGACCAAAGACACACCACGTTGGATTGGCAAAACAAGCATGAAGTGTTGCTTTTATAGTTTGCTACAGTTAAGTTTCGTTTTCATTTTCTCTCTGTGAGAGCTCAGACTCACTTGTGGATTACAGTGTACGCGACGCTCGACAACAATAACTTACGTGTCTAAGGAAGAACATTGTTTACCTGAGAGCTGTTCTCATCTGCAAACACTGAGATCCGGATTCGCTTGTAGTATTCTCTTCATAAAGACGCAGCTCTAGTTGCTGGTGATTGTCCTGTCTCTACAGATTTGGTAAGTGAGCGAGCAGTGCTCTTTGTTTATTCAGTTTGTTCGTATCGAACAAACTATAGCACCGAGTGTAAACATGTTAGCACTACAACCAAACTTTAACCTCGTGTGGGGTTTTTACCGCATTTTGTGACCGGAATAACACACGCGGCTTTCTGACGCTACCTGCCGTGTGCATCTAAGTTTCCGGGAAATGCGGAGGTTTTTTTTTTCTCTCATTCGCTGTGCGGTATCAAACATTGCATGAAAAAAACACGCTTAGAGCAGTTCCTCGAATAAAATATCTCGTTTGTCGCGAGGGGCATGAATGTATTCCCTGAATAAAAGACCCAAACTGCAGTTAAAGTCCACCATTTAATAATTTGGCAAATAATTCGACTACACATGTCCATGTAGGTTAAACACCATCACTTTCTCATGTGTGTTTGTGTGTATTTTGACTCTGAAACTTGCGCGTGCCCAAATAGACACTCCGACACCATCCCACTTTTCTTCCTCCGACACTCCCCCCTAAACAGAGCTGGACACGCCCACTTTTCTGACTTTTTGCAAAGTAGAGGTGTGAAAACACCCTGCTGAAACGAGGGGGTTTCATGGCCTTTAAGTAAGTCATTGTAAATGACAATGTTGATGTGTTTGATCTTGATGACATAGATCTGTAGCCCTGCCCTCTAGAGCTTATTAACTCTGAAACTCAGAGTCAAGAATATATTCAGCATCAGAATGTACAGTATGTACAATTATTGTATGTACAATAATTCATACGTCTAAACCTTGGTAATGTCATAGCTTGCTATGGACCTGATAACAGTTAAAACAGCCAGTATAGCCCAACAACTGCCAAAAATACAAGTGACCTAGCAAACTAAAGCAGCTCAGCAGGTGAGGAAAAAAATAGAAACTGCCAGACATCTTCACTCAAAGGTTTTTTTTGTTCTAAACACACAAGAAATGTGCTGCACATGTGTAAGTTTCACTAGGGGAGACTCCAGTTTATTTGTTTGTATTTAAGCTATCTTTTTACAGTAGCAATTCACCTCATGTGCCAGCATCTGTGGTCACTCCGTTCTTTTTTTTTAATAATAGATTTACTGTCATATAAGCATGGTTCAATATCACTGACAAAATTGACCCATTTTATGTATCAATATTTGTTACCCAACAACCAGATTTTTTGGATTCTTAGTGGCCTCACGGTAGTTTTTTCTGACTTGATTCCCATTACTACCTGCCGTGTGCATCTAAGTTTCCGGGAAATGCGGAGGTTTTTTTTCTCTCATTTGCCGTGCGGTATCAAACATTGCATGAAAAATACACACTTAGAGCAGTTCCTTGAATCAAATATCTCGTTTGTCGCTAGGGGCATGAATGAATTCCCTGAATGAAAGACCCAAACTGCAGTTAAAGTCCACCTTTTAATAATTTGGCAAATAATTCGACTACACATGTCCATGTAGGTTAAACACCATCACTTTCTCCTGTGTGTTTGTGTGTATTTTGACTCTGAAACTTGCGCGTGCCCAAATAGACACTCCGACACCATCCCACTTTTCTTCCTCCGACACTCCCCCCTAAACAGAGCTGGACACGCCCACTTTTCTGACTTTTTCCAAAGTAGAAGTGTGAAAACACCCTGCTGAAACGAGGGGTTTCATGGCCCTTTAAGTAAGTCATTGTAAACAGATTGTGACAGATTTGTCTGACTTGATTCCCATTACTATTGACAAAACAAATCAATAAAACTTGGTTTAGTGTATAAACAAACAGCTCTATCAGCAAACAATCACTTTGTTGGCGCACTAGGATCCCCACACATGCCACAGTGTGAGCATCCCGTAGTGGCCTCATCCCGTACTAGCACCTCTTCAAGCAGCAACCCAAGTTTTTTCATGTTGTCTTTCATCTAGTTACTAACGAGGCACACCACTGCTTAGTCACAGTTGGCGACCTTAGGAGAGCAAGGTGCAGACTAAATCATCC